GATGCCAAACAAGATCAGCTCTGTAAATTCTCTATAGGCTCCCCTTGTTCAGGGTTTATCTGTACATTTCTTCATTTCCATTTGTGCCATTTCAGTTATTACATGGTTATAGTTACACGTGGTATCCAGTATAACAATGGCTATGGCAGGACAGTCTGAATCTGAGGTATACACTACAGAATGAGGCCGGCCAGCAGGGTAATGCTGTAAAAACTTTCCTGATGAGTTTATAGTCTCGGTCGCCGGTTTACAGTCTTACTGAATCCAACTGGATGTTTGTTTTGTACATTCTGGCCTCCGCTAGTGCTCAGAGGACAATAAAGGATGATTGGGGATGATTTACTGTGAGACTGACAGTCCCTCAATCTCTCTGTCAGATCACTCGTCTTTGATTACATAACATAAAGATGGCAGAGGAGGCCAAGTTTTCACTCCTGGACAACACAAAGCGATACGTGATGTCGCTGTAACTATGTCCATCTTTAATTTAATGTCTCTGATGTGATGTGAGCGTGACAGTTTTGTAAATGTTAGAGCAATAATCACAGTGAAATGCTACAGATGTACACAGATGCTGAACAACAGAAGAATCCAGACTGAGAGACAGTGACTCTAGGTTCCCCCTGTGATGAGTCCAAGTGTCTGCAAGTGTCTGTCAGCTGTTTAGACTCTGAAGGCTTCTCCTGGTTTGTGGGTCACATTCAAAAACATTTATCCGGCTCTGAATTCAGCCCAGAATTAAACTAAAGAAACCTTTCATTATAATATAAACAGAATGCCCATCCTTCACCTTTCTGTTTGAAATACTCCAAAATATTGACAAAGAGGCACATCGACGTTTGTCACATGGATTTCTTTCTTTTCCAACTACCAACTATAGTGGAACTGAAATGTGCAGCACTTAACAACAAGAAAAAGAAAATAAAAAAATCGTACTTTCTGATAGAGACGAAGGTGAGCAGCAACTCTTCAGAGGCAGGAAAACATTACAGTTGGTGGATAATGAAAACAGTTTAATTAATCCTTAATCACAGATATAAGGTCTTTAAACTGCGGTACACTCACAGGGCTTTCCTGCTTGGAACGGGTGTTTGATGGTGTCAACAGTCTCCCTGTTATTTGTGGCTAGTAATAAAGAGATTGCACATAAACCCCACATATACAAAACACTTAGCTGTGATCCATCTTTGGCAATTATTGTAAATATTACAAGAATCACTTTCGGTGTCACACAGAATGCAAGGGGTTAAAATGAAACGGTGAAATCTGACCGGTTTACAACTTAAAGCACTCATAAATATTGTGTTTTACACCCGATTGCCTCAAGGCCTTAATACATCCTCCACACTATGCACTTGAACATATAAAAAGGATGAGCACCTCTTTCATTGACTTTGGAGTGTTTTATCAACCTTTTTACATCTGTGGTGTTCCTGGTCATAAGTTACCGCCATAGGAAATGAATGGGAATCCACTCAACAACCACAGCCCCCCCTCCAGCCCCTGACCGGCCCACTGAAGGACCAAATGAAAGACCCACTTTACGACCTACTGAACAACCCACTAAGCAACCCATTGATCCACCCACTGAACTGAATTAAGTGGTGAAAAATGTTTGTTGTGCTAATTTAAGACCTGTTAAAACAGAATGGTCAATTTTGACCGGAAGACTAAAGTCAGGGGGTGGGGTGCACAGAATTGGAGGGTTAAATATTAAAAAGCTGAAGAACATCATTATTAATTGACTACTGATAAAAAAAAATTTAAAAAAATGCTAGTTTTCATCTTTGCTGTCTCTAGTAAACTTTTTTCTCATAAATTTATGACCTATAAATCCCCACCCCAAAAAAAATCGCACATAAACTGAAAAAAGCAGATCTACACTTGAGACAGGTTAAATCCTACCATTAAAACCACCTGTACCATCTGCACTCATTTTGGACCTTAGACAGTACAAAAGTTGGACTCAAAACATAAACAATGCAGCTACGCTGTCCAAGTTACGGCTGTTCCGCAGTTTTATGTGACATTATGAATATTTTTGGTATATTATTTGTATCTACCAGGTATCACAATTAACAGCCAAAGCAACTGTTCCTTAACCACCCAACTTCCCAAAGTTCAGCATGCTCCTCAAAACTGTAGGGAGTAATTACAGCCAGTCGTCCACCCACTAAACACTGTTCCTACAGTATGTTTAAGGCGCAGGGTGTGCTGCTGCAGAGCTCACAGTTACACAACATGCAGCTCGAGGCTAAACTCTGGAAAGACATAATGAAAATCAGACGGGTTTACTGAAGGAGCTGAAAGTTACATCTGCAGGCCATCATAGAGCACAGAAAACTACAACTGAATACCGTCGCACACAATCATCAGGCCCTGAAGGCAAAACTGTTACTTCCAAAAACACCGCTAATGACTGTTATCCAACTTTAACCTGACATGGTATAAGATAGTGACACACACTGTCAATCCTGAGATCAAATCCAGAAGTTAGTGAAGAGACTTGATTATAAAAGGACTTAAAGTTTAAGCATTCAATAAAATAAAATGTCAGGAGTTTGTTTTTGTCTTTTATGAGAGAGACTAAATCCCTGCATGGCTTCCAAAAGTCCATTTACTGCTACAAGTATCAATGACAAAAGTTGTATAATTACCTATATTACTCATAACTAAATTTATTTTTAAAAAATTAAAAAAAAAAAACCCACATAAATTCAGACTTGTGAAAGCTTTATTCCATTTCTTAAAACCAAAGAGAGAGAGGCGCACGAGGCTAATTTCAGCATAAAGGAAGCTAGCAAGAGTTAGCCAAACCGCCAAATCCGTTAAACAACCGTTTGAATTACGAACTTCCGGTCAGGCCTCTATCAGGCAGAAAACACAAAACTCTTCACCTCACCGCCACTGAGGAGCTGTCTCCATATTTAAGGACATACCCATCCTCCATTTCGGCTAACAAATTAGCTAACAGGTGTGGCTAATGTCAGGGAGTCAGGTTCAGCTTGAAACCGACCCTGGTGCGCGGTATCCGGTTTTGTGTGTGTGTGTGTGTGTGTGTGTCCACACTCACCACTGTTTGGAGTTCTTCTTTCAGCCAGGATTCAGGAACACTTGTCCTGCTTCAGCGCTTCATCACAAATCATCCTTCCAAATATATCCACAGGAGACCTACTTTCACCCCTTCACCTGCATGGCGTCTGCACTGTGCGTGCTCGCTCCACAGCGCCCTCTGCAGTCACGCAGCGTGCTGTGCTGAGCTGCATGTTTCAAGTAAAGGAAGAGCCAGGGTACAAACAGCTAAATTCAAATACCATGCACACCGTGCTTACTTATGCTACTCTCCATGAACTGTAGGAGGTATGACACAAAGTGGTTAGCGTACAGTACCACAGACACTGGTTGTATTTATTTTTTATTTGTAGTTTTCTATAAGGGTGTAAGAGGTCAGACTGAATTGGTCTGTTGAGGTCCTCAGGCTATATTTTGTATCTATTTAATGTCAAGCAAGCAACAGCAGAAACTTTTCATTTATCAGTTTCATGAACTCGCTCATTGTTAAAGGGGAAAGAGCAACGATTCATTTGGTAAGGCATTACTGTTCATAGACAAGGTGAAGGAGCAGTGCTGATCAGTTCACCTGATATGTCTGAGAAAACACTCATTAATCTCTACCAAAGACAGATTTTCACTTTAAATTGGATGAAACAAGAGGTCACATGTCATATCAAGCTCATGTTAAAATAATAAACAAAGCCTGCTTTACATGATGAGACTTTTCTGCTTATTTAAAGTAGGGAATAGTTTTGATGGATATAAAAAGTAAGACTGTGTTGAAAAACACAACAATTCTGTTTAAGGCACTGCTTATTTAAATAGTTTTGTGTATTTTGTGAAATCGGCTGATATTTTCTGTTTGACTTTGTAAAAAGTTTGAATTCATTTTTATGTTCGTTCAACTCAAATTCAAATTTGAACTTTTCCTTTTTAGGCTGCAGGACTGAATAAAAACAAGCTGTTCTAACTTTAAATTTCACATTTTTTAATTTAATCTGTTTGTAGTTTTTGCTGCACGTTAAATGACGTCTGCAGAGGTGAACTACAAAGCGAGCTGCATTCAGAGATAATCTGATTATCAGTCTCCTCGTCGAGACCTTGTTTGTGTACATACCAGCAGATCTGGCAGCAAATCAGGAACAACAAAAGTTAAGAGAAATATTTGTACAGTTTCAGCACGGCCAGATGAATGCATGTCGGTTCTTGTTTCAACATGATGCATACAGTACGTGCTGTAAGGCTTTGTTCAGAAGCACTGATACCATACAGCTCAACGGGTTTACATTTACCCACAGCCCCTGGCTTGTTACAGCTATAACAAGCCAGGTATTTAACTTGGTAAATACCTGGCTCTGGTATTTAACTCTGACGCTTTTAAATGTTGAAAATACTCCTGAACCTTCTGAAATTAACTAAAGTTGTCGGCCCAATCTGAAGAAACAAAAACTATGAGTTTAACTGCCAAAAATATCTACTGAGTATTGTCCTGAAGAGATACTGACAGAAGCTAAAGAAGGGCTGAACTGTGCTATGAGTGTAATACGAGTTTGTACCACAAGATGGTGCTGTGAGTGAACACAGCTTTATTTTAAATGGAAGGTCAGGAGAAGGGTTAAACTGAGCTGAAACAATAATTAAATCTGATTGGAAGTTTCATACAAAGTACGAATGAGTTCATTTTCATGTGCTGCAGCCTAGCACACACTCTGTCTGCCAGCTGCCAGAGAGGGGCTGTTTGCCTTCTTTGCATCCATCATAGTAAAAGTCCTGCAAATGAAAAATCCTTCACAAGACCGGAGGTATTCTAAACCTACCGAGCGACATTAATGATGAAAATGTCAGAAGTGAAAAACTTCCCAGAGTATCGAATGTTTTACTGCTGTAACTGAAACCAGCAGAAAGAACATAAAGCACTGAAACTCTGGGGTGGAGCCGACTTTTAGTCCAGTACTGCACCGTTTGAGAACACTTCAAATTATGTTTACTTTACTAACATTTATTTTAGTGATGTCTGATATTCTGAAGGAGAACTGTAAAATAAATGTCAAGTAAAAATGTAACATTTCGTCTTAAATGAGATGGAGCAGAAGGATAAAGTAGCATAAATTACTGTGTATTATAGTATTTCTGTGCACTGCTAAGGTACATTACAGTGTACAGGTGTAGTTTAAAAACATCTGTCCACTGATTGGTGGTTGCATTCTGAGGGCGTTTTAGGTTCTGTTACTCTGCACAGTCTTGAGTAACAGTATCAGACGTAATGAAGCAATGTTTCCCTCAGACATTAAAAGTAAAGCATCAAAAGAGTAAAGCAGCAGGTAGAATAAAGAAGCACGGAGACAGGTGGGCTCATTCAGAAAAACACTCCTCACATTTATTGACTCTTGGATCTCTGGGCCGAAGCCAAAGCTAACACACATTTGGCACAAAGACAGACACGATTCATTGGATTTTTCCAAACAACGGCCCGAATCACAGGCCTAACAGACGAAGACCTGCCGCTGTGCAGAACGTTCCCCTGTCTCAGAGATTCAGGCATCACTGCGGCAATGATCGACTGGACACGGCGAGGTCATCCCCTTGCATCCACCGCATCAGCTCCAGGTTCAAGTATGTTTACAGTGCGAAGACCTCTCTACAAGCAGCGACATGTTTCCTGTTATCACGGCTGCACCACGAGGCGACAGCAGAGACGAAGCAGATCACAGCAGCCTGCTGCAGCCACTCAGCGTGCACTTCACTCCGTCTTAATTCAGGTCTTTGCACTTCAGTTATTTACACATGCGCTGCTACTTTGTGTTAGCTTTTTCAAGGGGTAGCTTCAGCCTAACATGCAACGAGGAAGGAAAAAGAACAGAAGAAAGACCAAAATGTCTGGTTTGTGCTTGGGGTGCCAACTTTAACTGTGTGAAGTTGCAAAAACAGGATGCCACAAAAAATATGTATCGGTCGTTTTAAAGTAAAGCTGATTAAGTTTTGAATCAAAATATTACAGGATTCTGAGATGTTCTCAGGCGCTTCGTTTTAAATGAAGGACAAAATAAAAATGTGTCAGTTCAGCGAGCTGGAACAGGCGTTGGCGTGTTTACTGAGGTTGAGATGTTGACATTTCTGTGAGTCAGGTGGCTTTGCAAAGACTTATTTACTCTGAATGTCTTAAATCCTGCACTCTAGTAAAACAAAAACCTAACAGCAGCTATACTGTTAGGCAGGGAGTTTCAACTTAAAGATCAATAAACTGAAAATGAAAATTCTTTGGAAAATAAAGAAACTGTAACCTTCTTCCATCCTGCAGCTTCCCGTGTGACACTCACAGAGTTTTATAATTAGCTCACTCTGGCTGAAATGTTTTGAAGTGCAGGTCAAAGCTGGATGTCGCTTCTGGGTCTGAAAAGTGAAGCCAGTGCAGAGCGTATTATTTCTAATGGCCAGCAGGGGGCATCTCCTCTAATTGTAAAAACAAAACCCTATATTTGGATTTGTATGTATATGATTATTCTATATTTATTACGGCACGTTCCTGATGAGTGCATCGTCTAAAACTCTGGTTTCAAGTTTTACTGAATACAACACGATGTTCATTTTGGAAATTATGGTCCCCTTTAAACTAAAACAGAGCATAAAGCCGGCTATGATTTACGGCACAGCTCTCTTGCGACTGTCAGAGCCACCTCAGCCCGAGGCTTCAAACACGATGCTGTCTTTTATATACAGTCTATGGAGCATCAGCACTGTGGAGAACAGTGAGATCTCATGTCAGTTTTTTGTTCTGTGTGCTTTCTGGATTGGGAGGCCGACGGGACTTTGAGGGTGAAGCTGAGCGGCTGCAGATGCTGCAGATTTGTGATCGGCTGACAGAGTAAAAGCAGCTCGATGAGACGTTAAGGCAAAAAAACATTCTTCGGCAAAACAAGAGAAAACTAAAGAAACATCACACAAACATGTTTGCCTGCTGGTGGGATAAGAACGTGCGGACGGCCCGGAGACTGTTGTCCACCTCTACACACACACACACACACACACACACACACACACAGTAAGACATGAACACTGAATCAACACACAGCTGAACACAGACACGACAGAGTAAGGCAGTTACAGACGCCATAGATATGTTCATTATGCTTGTTATTACACACTTTGGTCATTTAAAATAAACTATTCTGTAGATTTTATATGTCTGCAGTTTTACAAAATACATTTTCAGATTTTTACGGTTTACGAGCAGCTTTGACAGAATAAATACACACATTCAGATTCGGAGCAAAGCAAAGAACTCTGTCAGAAAAGCTTCTATCAGCTCAGGTTAAAGGGTGGCAGCAGGTGGAGGCCTTAACCCCTCTGTGCAGCAGCGCCCCCTGCTGCTGTCTGCAGTTAGGTTTTACAATCTGCACCAGAAAATTTACCTCAACCAGCAACTGATTAAAGGACATTTAAAGGGAAAAAACCTCTGAATTTGTGAAGGTATTTGATTAGTAACAAATCAACATTAAACAGGTAAAATCAGGCCCAAGTCAGCAGCTGCAGAGAGGGGTTTGAATGCACTTTGCTACAACCAAGGACCAAGGATTATTTTTATTGTTTTATTCATAATCTGTGATTATATTGCACTCACTATGTCACTTATAACTCCTTGACTTTGTAATAAACTACATAAAATATGAAATTGTCCTCCAACTTGCAATCAAATGGACTTTGTTAATGTCCATCTGCAGCAAGAATATGCTGATACGTGATTACGTAGTCATAAATTGCGGATTTGATCAATAACACACAGATTTTCCTACGCAGACCTACAGCAGAGCAGCAGCGAGACAGAGCTGATTCTGTCCATGAGGCCACACAGAGATCAGACGGTTCACGTACAGACTCAAACAGACAGTGAAAGGATCAACTAAAGAAGTTTGTCTGCAGGACTTTCTGACAGAAAGACAAAGGCCTCTTTGACTTCACGGCCCTGGTAGTGCTTTTAAAGTTACTTATAACTCTCTCCCTGTTTGCCATCCACTCTCAGACATCAGGATAAATAAAGCTGGCAAACATGTTTATGAGAGAGAAGAGCTGACAGGAAGCTGCATATATAATCTTTACTAGAACGCTGATGTTTAAGGTGCCTCGGTTTTATGCCCACTGTGAGGACATCCATCTGTGGTGCTAGCGGTAGGGCTTTGTCTGATAATCACTGGGTTGGCAGGTTGATTCTAGGCTTGAGTCCCTCCGGATGGTGAACAGATAGTTAGTGTTTTGTGGCCTCTCCACTTTTAAAATGAATCAGAAAGCCTTGAAGGGAAACTTCTCTTGGCTCTGGACTTAGATGTTGATTAGCCTGCCACTGAAAATAGCTCCAAATAAATACACTATGTCCTCCTGTTTATCTGATAAAACTACAGAGAGCTTTCTGAAGGAATTACCAAACCTTTTCAGAAAGCTTTAAGGCTTCAGCACTGGGCTCAGAGCTGAGAGCCGCAGACTGAGAAGAAACGATCCCGATGAAACAGCAGCAGGAACTCAGCTAATTCACTCAATCATGTCCAAAAACTACAACCACGTGGAGCTTTGGAGTACCATCAGTCTGACCCCCTTTACCCTGCTTTGAGGTCAAAAGACAAAACTCTGCATTTTTGAGGAAAATGAAAAGGCTAAAGAGGCGGAGACAGGAAGCTGAAAGCCACGAGAGACACATAAACACACGGCTGCTTTGAGTCGGAACATGAGATCTGATAAAATCTGTAACATCACACCGTTCACCTGCCTAACAGTCACCTGAATCTGAACACCTGTCTGCACCTGTGTCGGCTGGTGACGCGCAGATCAAAAGCAGCAGGTGACCTCTGACCTCTGCAGGTTGGTCACATGGAGCTCAGGCTACAGGAGAGAAGATCGGACCTGCTAAGAGGTGCAGCTGTGGGAGGATGGATGATGAGCTAGTTTCCTATTGGACGGCCTAACAGGAAGCACATCACCTGATGTCTGTGAGTATCCTGAAGCTGCTGATTGGTGGAGTCCAGCCCTGCTCTGCAGGTGGCTGATGTTCCACTGATCTGGGATCTGCTGTTACAGTTGGGTGGGGCCTCTGCTGTGAGGCTCAGGAGGGGGTGATGTCACCAGGCTCCTCAGGTACACACAGGGGGTCCTCCTCCTCCCAGAGCCAGGGGCGGAGCTAGGTGGCGGCGGTGGAGGCGGCAATGGCCCGGGGGGCTTCAGGGAAGACATGAGCGGCTGCATCTCCGCAGCCACTCCCCCTTCCACGTCCTCTTCTTCTTCCTCCTCCTCCTTCTTCTTGTCTGGGAAGAGGAATGAGCCCTGAGACACCTGAGGTCCGATGGAGAAAGTGCTGCCCGCTGCGCTGCCGGGTGGCGTGTAGGAAGCTGGGCGGGGTCCACCCAGCCTGGAGAGGGCGCTCACCCGTGGGTGGACGGGCTCAGCAGGGGCCGGTGGGGAAGAGATGCTCTCCAGAGAGGAGATGCTCTGGTTCCAGGCCTGCTGGAGGTCCACTGGGATGATCTTTGTGGCCTCCAAAGACACGCAGGGGGGAGGCGAGCCCAGACTGCCTTTCCACGGCAAATGACTGTCTTCACTGGTTGGTGAGGAGGGTGCGGGTGGTGGTGAGGGCGGTGCAGGTGGTGGTGGTGGTAGTAGCGGAATTTGACACCCTTCCAGAGCTGCTGGCACTGAAGGATGAGACACAACAGGGGGATAGTTACCGAGCAGCGAGGCTTGAAAGACTTAAAGGTTCACACTCTAAGAAAAGGAGGAGATTCTGATTCTGCTTTTAGTTAGTCATGTGACTTTAATCAGACGTTCACCTCAGGGACTGCAAATCAAACATGGATGTAGCTTCTGGATCCAATAAGTAAAGCCAAGACTGAAGTGCCCAAAATCTGCAGTCTTCCTAGCAGCCAGCAGGGGGCGACCCCTCTGTTTTCTACAAGAAGTCTGGCTCAGTTAAAGTCTATGAGAACGTGTCCCTAAAACTCACTTAATCTGTTAGCTCAGTAAACACTTCCTGATGACTTCACAGCTTTATTTGCCTGTTCAGTTCATTTTGTGAATGCAACATGATTTTAATTTTGTAATTTATGGCCCAAGGGCCGCTGTCCTGCAGGTTTTAGATGTGTCCTTGGTCCAACACAGCTGATTTAAATGTCTAAATGACCTCCTCAACGTGTCTTGTAATGTCCTGGTAATGAAATAATCATTTGATTCAGTTGTGTTGACCCAGGGTGAGATCTAAAACCTGCAGGACACCGGCCCTTGAGGCCTGGAGTTGCCCACCCCTGCTTTGAAGCATGTCTTCCTTCGGATTAATAAGTTGCTACATTATGAGCTTACTGTGTCCCTCTGTCTGCCACTCCACTCCTCACTTATTACATCCAGATTCACACACACAAGAGAGTTTGAGGTCCACTGAGTTTTTGAGTGACACAGTGACGTTTTACCCGATTTGGGTCGCTGCTTTGGCGTCTCGGCCTTCCGAGCTATGAAGGTGATCCCGACGTCTTCGTCTTTCTCTGGATCTGAATGTTCAGCTTTGTCCTCCGTCTCCACGGGAACAACCACCGGATCTGAACACAAAGACAGAGAATCACGTCTGCTGATAGGTGGACACCTTTAGTCTGTAGCTCTATTTGTATTGTGCAGGACACATGAGCTCAATCTCAACCTGTGACTTTGTGTCCTGTGAATAAAAAAGATGATAATAATAAATTCCTCTCTGATGGCAGAGGAATCTTTCCTTAGACGTTCAGAGCAGATGTGTGGATGCGTTGGTAAGTAGAAAGAGCCCGCTGAGGCTGCAGCGCTCTCTCTTTATTTGCGTTACCTTTGTCCTGCCAGCTGACGTTACGTCTGGGTTTATCGCTGCCGTCCTCCTTGACGTCGGATCCTCGCCGCTGTTGAAAGGGGAGAGAGCAAATGCAGTGAGCCACAACAGGAAGCAGCCGGCCTTCAATCAGCAGTCCTTCGTGACAGACAGCGGTAAAAGCCTCTGCGCTGTAATCCACCAACCGTTTCGCAGTCTCAAATGTCATGTTACAGTTAAACAGACTGACGCAGGGATCCATGTGCACGTTTAGACATCTTTGTGAGGACAGAAAATTGGATAGCTACTATACTTGTGGGGACAAAGTGCCCGTCCCCACAAGTTTAAGACTCAAAATCTCTTTAAAACCTTTAAACGTTGTCTCTCTCTTTCATCTTCCAGCTGCGTCACTCAGTATGAAACGTTTACAAAAGTCTAAAATATAGATTTCCTTGGACCCGTCCAACGACCGATCCACCACGTGTCCATAGTAATCTGCGGACCGCACCGTGTCATTTAGAGGGCTGTTAGTGGTAAAATGGGATTCTTTGTGAAAACAGGTTCACTCCAGAATGTCTTTTTCTTTCTTTGTTTTTAAGAAATAATCCAGTCATTTTCTGTCCGTCTGGTTCTTTCTGTTTACTGAGCTTTCCGCACAGGTAGTCCGCTGCCTCATGTCTGCATAAATAAAGCTGAATGAATAACTCGCACCTCCATAATCAGCTTCGCCCACACGACACAAACAGAGAAATTTCGCCATCCAGCCGATCCGTCAGCCTCTCTGTGATATTATGGATCTGAGCTGGAAACTAGCAGGACTTTACTGAGCTTACAGAAGATATACGCCCAATAAAAATGCTCGATTTGGAGCAACGGTGAGAACAGATGCAGGTACTGCATGATGTGCACTTTAAGTCCCAAAACAAGCCCAGTGAGAGCAGAGCAAAGCCGAGCTTTAAACAACTGAATCGTGGCTCAAGAGTTGGGAGTTCGCCTTGTAATCGGAAGGTTGCCGGTTCGAGCCCCGGTCGTTGTGTCCTTGGGCAAGACACTTCACCCGCTGCCTACTGGTGGTGGTCAGTGTTCGGCAGCCTCGCCTCTGTCAGTGCGCCCCAGGGTGGCTGTGGCTACAACGTAGCTTGTCATCACCAGTGTGTGAATGACTGGATGTGTAAAGCACTTTGGGGTCCTTAGGGACGAGTAAAGCGCTATACAAATACAGGCCATTTACCATAACTGATCAGTGCACAATGAGGCTCACTGACTCACTCATTTCAAAACACAATGACACTGTTTGTCTTCATAATCTTTACCCATAAAAATTTTGCTGTGACACCAAAGGAAACATTTTCCAGCTACAGTACAGTAGATGTAGAAGTAGAAACACTTTATCAAGTACATCTACTGTACTGTATTTTCCTCCATCATCATCAGGAGTCATCTGATCGTTCCAGATCCATTCAGTCCAAACAGAGCAGGTCATGGGTTTTCTCTTGATTAAAAAAAATACATTGTTCAGAGCATGCTCAGAAAAGTGATTCTTAATCTCAAGCATTTCACTTCCTGGTTCATTAAAGGTGAAAAAAAAAATCCCAACCAAACTAAACAACCGCAAAAACCAGTCTGTAACGACAGCTGTTATTTCAGCATCACAATCATTCTGTTTAACAAGAAAGACCGAGGACCCTGGGACCGACTAAATCCTGGAACAGTCTAAAAGCTGTTCCTAAAAACTGGCGTCTGGTGCACTAAGCAGAACTTTATGTTTTCTCTGGACTTTGGTTAAAGCTTGTTTCGGTGACTGATGCGTCTCACCTTTTTCAGGCTGCGCTCCTTCTTGTGGCGTTTGTATCGGGTGGATTTGAAGGTCTCCATGCGGCTCCTCATGTTCCTCTGAAACACCTCCCGGTCCTGGCGCTCCTGCTCCCCCAGCGGCATGAAGTGACGACTGTAGTGGGACTGATACTGAACACAGAGGACACCAGCCTCAGCCTCACGCACTCAAACACATTTCATTTCCCAGTGAGACCTGCTCCCCTGTCCTGATCTTCTTTAAAGATCTCAATAATGACTTTAAAGACCCTGAAACATCTTGAGTGCTCTCCAACACAATCTCCACAACTTTAAGAAACCTTGGGGCTCCAAGAAGAGAAAAACTTACCCGTCTCCTGGGTTTGTACAGGTTTCCAGCGAGGACATGGTGCGTCTCCATGTCCTCCTCCACTTTGGCTCCAGGAATGTTATCGATGACCTGGAGGTCCAGACACACACCGCTGCCGTTCTCACGTCTGGAACAGACAAACATCAGCGAGCATTCAGGCCAGTCAGAACTGAAAAGCTCACAAAGAGTTTGATAATTCACTTATCAAAGGGCACAGGGTGAAACCTGAAACTTTTATGAGTCCGGCAGGGCAGATTTTGCAGTCATGTGACTCACAGATAGTTTGTGACGTTGGTGACTTCGGGGAACGAGGCTCTGCTGGCCATCGAGGGCAGAGACAGTCTGGCTGAGGTCAGGACGTTCCCACCCTACACACACACACACACACACACACACACACACTCTTCAAAACACGTCTTACTGCAGGTGCACTACTTGCAAATCACCTGGTGGTACAGTTTGGTGATTCAAACGAAGTGGTGACCTCCACAAAATCAAATGAAACCAACAGCGAAGCACCAAAACTTGCAGTTCCTTTAATGACCACCAGAGGCCCCAGCACTCAGTCAGTCATAAACAGTATTCAATCTGAGACCCTCCTCATTTGTTACAACCCACAGTTAATGTTATTGTAAACATTTTTGTGGTTTTCTGACAGGCAAAGGGACATTTCACCCTGAAGTCGAGTTTTTCCTTGAAAGGAGCCACCTGAGGAATTCCAAGCATGTCCCACTGGGAGGAAGCTCCAGGGTAGACCCAGAGTGGATATTCCCACCTGTTGTGCTGTTTATCCATCAAACTAAAAGTCTGTTTCCAGAAATGCTGACCTGGTTTCTAAGAAGTTTTCTGTAGGAAAAATGCTAAAGTTACTGAATTTTTAAATGCTGCGTATGGAAGTTCAGAATCCTATTTTGGGATGGATTTTTAGCGGTGGAGATTTTTGTGCTCTCCTAAAAACATATGATGGATCGTCATATAATAAAAAGGCTGTCTCGATGTGAAGCAGCGTTCTGCTTCATGAAACGTTCCTGTTTTCCTCATAAATCTGGTCCAGGGGTTTTCCTCGTCTCAGCTGGTGGGCTGATAAATAAAACTCACCTCTGCTCCGACTCTAATGTCGGCCTCACGGGGGGACTGAGCGTTAGCCTGGAGGCCCCTCACTGTGTTTCAGGCTGATTTATTAAACGCTCAGCTTGTGCAGGTGCGGGTCAGACTGTTTGTGTTTCACTCTGCTGAACAGGAAGGTTCACAGTCGTGAAAGGAGACGCCAACAAGTCCAAAATCAGAGCCAGCTCAGTCTGAGAACACTGAGACAGAATTTAAAGGAAGGACCTTGAAACTGGAAGATTTTCAGAGCCATAAAAGAGACGATTTCATGTCTTTTCACAGGCAATTTATCTCCAAAGGTGGGAAACTCTTTTGTCAGAGAGGTCAGTGTAGTTATTCTTCTTCTTCTTTCAGCTGGTTCCTTCAGGGGTCACCACAGCAGATCATCTGCCTCCATGTCACACATTCCCAGCATCCTCTTCTGTCACACCCACGCTCTGCACATCCTCCTCCTCTGAAGTCTTCCTCTTTTCCTCCTGCTGTTAGCTCCATCTCCATCCTCCTTATATATCGCTCTCCCTGCTCTGCCTCTGTCTCTGATGTACTCATTTATAATCCTGGCCCAGCTCGGCCTCCATCTCCAAACCACACATCACAGCAGGTCTCACTGCCATCCTGTAAACCTTCGCTTTCACACTTGCTGCTGTCTTCTGTCACAACTCAACTCTGACACTCGTCTCCACCCACTCCACCCTGCCTGCACTCTCTTCTTCACCTCTCTCAAGCACCGTCCTCTCTGTTAATCACAGCGTTAAACTAGAACAGGAAAAAAAAAATAAAAAAGCAAGTAGAGCAGAATGAAATAAAACAGAATAATACAAAATATAGTGTGTCAATAAGTAAAAGATAAATAAAACAATACAATGGAAGATAAAATTCCTGAATGAAATAAAAGTTCATAGAAAAAAAATCATTTTCTAAATATTTTCAAATTATATTTTCAAAGTAAAAACAAATGATGCTGTTTTCTTAATGTGTCTGGATTTGTATGAACTGATGCTCAGGGATCGACGAGTCTCTGTCATATTTTGAATGTTTCTAAAGTGTCGTCTTCCTCCTACACACAGCAAACCTCTGTCAGCTTCACACTGAAGCCTACTGGCTCTAATTCTTGGTTTAGTTCTCCACCTGGTGGCTTTCAGAGGAACTGACAGAGACGGACGTCATCGCTCATCAGTCCATGAAATATGCAAGTCACTGTCAGCAGAGAGGGATTATACCTCGTCGTTTACGGGCACGTGTGTGGTTCTCTTTATGAATCTGGTCCCTTTCGTTTTCATTTTCTGAAAGTTTTCAGTGTTGGCAAAACCAAAAGCCATAACTGACTTTCATACATGTTATTGATATAAAACTACGATAGATGTAAAGCTGACACGCTTTAAAACTCTCTCGATGTGACAGTGAAGGACTTGCTGGCTGCTTTCCTTCTTTACACTTAATGTTAGTAATGCTTGGATGGTTTTTCCGACCTGGTCGATGACGCTGATGGCGTCTCTGATGTTGATCTTCTGATAAGCCTCCCACAGTTCACTCTTCCTGTAGACGGACTTCCTCAGCAGCAGCTTACTCAGGTAGTTCTTGTCAAACTGCTCCCACCTGAGCTCAGACAGGGCGACAGGCATGAAACACTTTGTCTCTGCAGCTTCCTCTGATGTTGCTGTAACATTGCAGTGATGTCGGGGACACTCACTTGTCTCTCCAGTGGTGATATCCCTGCAGTCCTGCGATGTCCTCCACCGCAGTCAGAATGTGGTCGAAGGCCTGGAGACAAAACATTAATGAGAAGGGTGAAGGTGAAGAAGGTGAAGAAGAAGAGGAAAGGGGGAAGAAAAAGAAGTCACCCTCTCGTGGATCTCCTCGTTGATGGTAGGCTTCCTGTTGGTGGCACGAGGAACTTTGAGCCACTTCACCAGCGGTTTGATGGTCAGACCCTGATGACGAGAGAAGAGTCTCAGAGAGCTTCTGGTCAAAAGTATGTGGACACCTCCCCCAGGACCTTCTCTATTGCTAAAGTCGTGATGGCACTTCCAGTCTAGCATTTTAATCTCAAAGAGACATTTACCATCGAGGTGGCAGCAAACCCACCAAACCAGAGCCATTGATCTTCACTGTACACGCGTCTGAATCCATTAAAGGTGGATTTACCAGCACCGGATTCTCCTGTGATGGAAGATTTAGTGGAATTTTCTTTTGCTTTTCTAAATATTCCTGAGCCTTGTAGCAGTGTTTTTGCCTTCTGGTGCTTCTTTTTGTACATATTAGATGAATTTAATGTATACTTTATTGATCCCTGTGGGGAAATTCCTCTCTGGATTTAACCCATTCACTCTATACAAGTATAAGCACTGATTCCACGACATTACAGTGGAGCTAAAACTGGTGCAGTATAGCCCTGCCTCATGTCTCAGCCCCCCAGAAGACTCACAGCCTCTGAAGCAGTGTTCCAGTTTCTTCTACTGTTTCTCTAAAACAGCTCATGAACTTGAGAAGTGATTTGGTCATAATCCAGAGATGAGTCAGCGTTATCCACGTCTAAGTCACTTTTTCGTTATTATCTAAGTGATAAACCATCATCTGTTGCACTCAGACGGTAACTCATTAACAGAAGACATTTGTGGGAATCACCACCGTCTGCTGAGGTCCATGATTCATGATGGGAATCAAAGGTCCTTCAGCCTCAACGTCAACTCATGACTTACACCAAAGTATACTCTTTAGATTTAGTGTTTAGAATAGAACAGAATAGACTAAACAGACACTAACTCAGTTGGCTGCTTCTGATTCCAGGGGATCCTTTTAGCTGGAAATGCTTATTCTATCTAAATTAAGATCATATCAAACACATGCATGTGTGATTAACACCTAAGATGATGGAAGGATGAATCTGTGAGTCCTCCTAACAGCCTGAAGCAGACACAGTTAATGCTGGGTCCTCATTTTGATTGGTTGCTTTGCAGTTGACTCCGTTGGGTGACTTATAATGATGGTGAAAAGGCCTTAAATGGGTTTTTTTGGAACCCAAAAACAATTCCTGTTTGTTATCTGCAGAGGCTTCGAAGCACACTGAGTGCAGCATGAAGGACAGGGATGGTTGGACCTGCTGCTAAAGTCTGTTTCACTAAAACTTCCAAAAAATCCACGTAAGAACTAAAGTATCAGCCGAGTCCGACTTTCCTCCAATTTCCTCGATAATTTCACCACTGAATGTGAAATTAAAGGCCACTTTATAACATCGACAAACTCGTTTCTGTTTTTTAAAACACTTAACTTGTGACAGATTCCAGGTCTGACACATCAGATCAACAAGCGAGGCAAATTTCAGTCAGTCAGCAGCCAGTTAGTGAGAAAAACAGAAAAATGGCTGAAGCGAACAGACGCTAATCGGTCAAATTTAAGGGGGGAGGGGAGCAGGGCAACCTCAGGTCGCTCTTTAGCCACGCCCCTGCTCCCATCTGTGCAGAATAGTGTAACTCACTGGTGTCAAACTAAATTTAATCTGTGTAAAAGTCACGGCGTGGGTCACCTGACCTCACTCGTGTGCTCGTCTGTCTTTCAGGGAGGGCGCTGAACGCCGTCATTCCTACCTGAAACATGACGGTGAAGAAGACGACCACGATCGTCGTTGCGACGAAGTAATCCTTGGCTTTGACTTGCTCGCCATCTAGCAGTACCACTAGGGCGAACGCCACTGCTCCTCGAAGGCCGCCATATGACATCACCACCTGGTCGATCTTCTCCAGTGGCACAAGGCGGAAGCGGTTCAGGACCCAGGTCTGACCAACCACACCTGGAGAAGAAAGGACGACAGTTTCACCTGTGTGCTGCATGAAATATCTTAATTTAAGGGTGGAGAAGATTCGACATATTTTCTGGATTCAATTTAAATTCTGCGTGCCTCCTTTCAGCAGGGAGAGGTGGAGCAGGAGGGGGAAAAGCCTTAAAGGTTAAAAAGGAGGTTTTTCTCTGTCTGATACGAGTGTGACATTTGAGCGTGCTCAGTTAAAGATCAGCCATGCAAAAGGTCACCGCAGGAAAAGCAAACAGAAAAGGACAAAGCTGGTTTATTCCATCAGCGATCATCGAGCAGATGCTCCGTATTTTTCTGCTTTTCCGTGAAGCCGCCGTCTCCTCGCACTCTGAAACATATCCTAGTAAGATGCTGAACTATTTTAAGACACGATGGAAACCGACTGACCGACAGCTCTGAAAATTAAGATGAAGACGAGGGTGCAGGACACCAGGCCCGTGTCCCAGGCCCACTTTGACTTGTCCACAGCTGAGATGCCCAGGAAGATGAAGATGATGGTCTCTGCGATGCTGGCCAGAGTCTTCATGGTGTACTTCACCGTGGTTCGAGACTTCTGGGAAATGTTGGCCTCCACATATTTGTTGGCCCCGATGCCACAAAAGGTCATGCTGAGATGTGACAAAAAGACAAAGTGAGACATGCTGTAAAACTTAAAATCAGACCAGAGTTGATACAAAAGATGGATGGAAATGTTTTTGTTTTTGCAACCAGAGAAGTCGCCATCTGCTGATGATCAGAAAGAATGCAGATTTGCGGCACCTTAGACCCAGAACCCGCTCCATCTGTTGTACACTGGTAGTTCTGATTTATAGAGGATGGACTTACGACAGGATGGCGGACAGGGAGAAGAGCTCGGCGGTCAGGTAGGCCAAGTAGACCATCAGGAAGACGAGGAGCGGCTCGATGATCCGGACTTTCTTGGTGAAGCGAGTGATGAAGCCCAAGATGACGGCAAAGATCAGACCCACCATAGTCCCCCCGATACTGACGATGAGGAAGGAGGCTGCAGGAGAGGAGGAGGACGTAAGTCACAGGACTCAGGTTTAAGTCAAAGTTTGATCCTTTCTGTGGACTCACCGACTCCTTTGAAGTAATCTGCTGTCTGCACATTCTCTGCTCCCACTTCCACAAAGGAAATGTAGACTTTATATAAAACCTGCAGAACACAGACAGGTTTAGACTGTAGGTGTTTGGAGGTCTGAGCCCACGGACGGTCTAATGTTTAGTGATCTGCGTCTCGGGAAAATCAGTTAAAGTGCAAGTGCTTAATAGCACCACAAGGTGGAGCCTCATTCTTTTTTTGTTATGTGGAGCTGGAGCGCTCACAGGCTAACAGAGGTCATCATGTATGACCAGGCAGCAACCTTTGACCCCGGGGCTGATAAATGAAGCCATCATGAGGTGATAAAAACTGTAGTTCCTTGAGTGGCCACTTGAGGCTGACTTCAAAAAGAGTCATTTCCCCAACAAACGGTTTCCATTTATAGCTGATTATTTTGTTTTGTTGTTTTTTGTATCTCACCTGTATAGATTTTGTTCACATTTAAGGACCGGCAGCCTCAGCCGGCGGTTCTCTGCTCAGCTTCACCTCAACTTAATTAAGTTTTTAATATACTCAGTGTCTCAGCAGTGTGGAGGTTCACACGTATTGCTTCACACGCAAAAGATTCCAGATTTGAAAGCATGAGGTGACACAGAGCAGCCTCAGGGGTCACAGGCTGCTGCACTCCGAGTGTCAGCCCCGTGGGAAGCTTGTGTCAGGTGGGGCACGTGCTGCAAAAAATCTGCTCCCAATTATTGCAGCTTCATTTTCTGCGGCTTCCCTTTGGGAAACCTCTCAAGAAGTCTGTGCTGCAGTTTCTGTGATTTAAACTCTAATACAATCAAGATGAAGAAGCATGTTGTTGCTGTTCTGTTCACTGCCAGGTCACCTCTGTACGGTGCATTTTTGAACGTACTGCCCAACACTGGTGATAACCAGCTGGATATCAGCTCACTTCACTGGGTTATATTGCTTTCTTTTTTATTGTCCTGCAGTGGAAACCCCCTCCCTGCTTTTCAAACACTGATTTCATGTCCTCTGCTCTCTAAGCTGATTCACACAGTATGAATCTCCACTTTATACCCACAAATAATCATTTCACAGCAGGAATTCCAGGCATTCTTACTGTTTACAGGACCTTAATGTGCTGCGTGACAACAGTAAATTATGGCGTGCGGCTTCGGGGAAGCATGCAGCACTCAGCTGAGCCTGAACAGTAATAACTGTGATGTGAAGCGATTGAGCAGCAGTAGTGAGCGGCCAGCCTGAGAAAATGAACTCCTTCCTTCGTCCTGTGCTTGCAGGTCATGGCTGCAGTGCTCCCACACTTTGGATTTTTCCATTTCTTGGTGGGATTAGCTCAGATTCGGAGTGCTGCTGAGGATTAGACAGTTGCAGTGTTAATCTCCTCACAACTGATTAATCTCAGCTTTCTCAAACAGTAAATGGGAGAAAATGTGAAGGTTCTGCTCTTCTGTCCTGGTCCGTGTTCATCACGCAGCTCTGCTGCTCCGATTCACCAGATTCTGTCTCTTCTCTGTCTCTCTTGATGTGGAGTAACATCGTAAATCAGCGGACCTGCTGCCGCTCAGACCGGCACCAGCACCCACACTCGACCTTTCACTGCCACCATCACTTCATACAAATGCAACAAGTGGAGTATGAAGTTCAGGAAACGATATGTTCGCACAAACACGGCCCACAGTGCGTCCTTGTGTGCTAGTCATTGTTGACCTTGTAAGCCGCTCTGTTGCCACAGCAACACACCTGACATGATGAGGCATGTGTGAGAGCGTGTGTGTGTGTGTGTGTGTGTGTGTGTGCAGCTCTGCCTTAACATATCATGTGTTTCTGTGCTGGTTTTACACCTACTGTGGGGACGTACGTCTGTTTGCCACATTGTGGGACACAAAGCAGTAAAGTGCTCAATTTTAAGATGTGTTTTGAACAGGAAAATACTGTGTGGAGATGCACGTGTGTGTTGTTTATTTTTTATTGTCATTTAAGTTAGAAAATATGACCTTTGATATCAAGAACTGTTTTGCAAATGTGTCAGCAGAGATTTCACAGACTGAAAAGAAAGAAAACACATACATACAGAAAATAAGTTTACACATGTATCAGAGTTTCTGGTGATATAATCATGATATAAAAACTTGTATTATTATTGGAGTCTTTCAGGATTGGGTGATAAGTTAAAATTTTAACACCATCAGTAACAATAACCAGCTGGTGATTGTTACTGATGCATGTGTGCGTGCCACTTTCCATCCCCCGTCCCTTGTGCCTGACGGACTGTGTGTGGTTCTCACCACGGTGACGGCGTCGTTGACCAGTGACTCTCCAAACACGATGATGAAGAGCGTTTCATTGACGTGAACCTCCTCGAACACGGCCAGCACCGCCACGGGGTCGACGGCTGAGATCAAGGCGCCGAACAGCAGGAAGTCCAACATTTCGGCCTGCACGTGCTCATCTGCAGGGACACGCGGGAAATACGAAGAGACGGGACAACACAACAATAACAGGAAGTTTCCAGTTTTAAACGAAGCAACTTTAACATTTTAAAGGAAATTATTCTGCGCCACTGGTTCTCAGATGGTCGGCGAACTGTGTCAGTACTGTGTTTGCAATGATTACGAAATCTATCACAAACCAGTGAAGACAACAGAGAGTTCAGAAGAGAGTGCAGGTAGGGTGGAGTGGGTGGAGATGAGTGTCGGGGGTGATTTGTGACAAAAGGATAGCAGCAAGAGTGAAAGAGGAAGACCTCAGAGAGAACATGCAGGCGGCTGGTGTGACAGAGGAGGAGACGGAGGCAGGTGAGCTTCTGTGGGGAAGGAGAGGTGATATGTGTTCGTTTATTCGCTGTCATATATAAATCGTGCTCAAGAGTAGGAAGCATGACCACGACCATGATATACATGACCAAAGTAAGTAATGAGGTCAGCACACGTCTAAAAAAACCTGTGAGAAACGAAGAGTTAAAGGAAGAGGAGGTACAGCGGCTCGTTTCAGACAGAGGATGGACCGGAGGGACACAGAAGCCCAACATGACAACATAAATAAGGACTATGTTGAAATTTGGATTACGGAAAGCTGCTCTCACTGAGTCCAGAAAATAACAATAAAGGTGGAAATGAGCACCATGAATCTCCTTTAGAGGCACTTAATGTACTGTAAACTTACTGCTGTGTGTTTGTCCTGAACAAATGCTGTTCGCTGGCACATTTAACTCAAATTTATTCACAAGTTATTTCTGTTTCCTGGAAAGAGGCGCTGCCTTAAAGGCTAAACTCAGAGAACAACAAACTGATTGCTGTAAAGAGCTCGGATTGAGGGCAGACTATAAATCCTCTACACAGAGGTGGGGCTATGCAGGACTGCAGATGCACACCTGTGACCTATGACCCCTGCACCCACAGCACTGACCTATGAACCCCAGCAGTTTGGCAGCGTACAGGGAGAACCCGGTGCAGAAGGCGTTCCACAGCGTTCCCACCACAGCGTATGTCAGGATGGCTCCCAGGTTGTCGAAGAAGAGCCTGGCCGGCATGAAGTATCCGGCATCACCCACGATGGTCGGCAGCAGGAAGAGGAAGAAGAGGCTGGGCTCTAGCTGGTATAGCTGCTTCTTATTGGCTATGAGGACGACCCCGCCCAGGACCAGACCCAGCAGGATCAGCATGCAGCTCTCTGGGACCACGGTGGTGAAGCGCTGGGAGAAGTGGAACACTGCAGGACAAGATGCACCGATTACAAAACAAGGCATGAAAAAGTTTGCATGACTTCGTTAAGTTTAATTATTTATCTGCTTTTCTTAATTTACCTTCTCTACCTTCTGTTTCCTGCAACAGCTCCTCTTTGTTCCTTCTGCTACTAAATCCTATGTCAGCTTTATTTTTCTCCACCTGCTTGGCTCCGCAAACATCTGACTCTGCAGCTCCTGACTCGTGCTTCATTTTAGTCAGGTCTGCAGGTGTGAACACGGACATGTGTCGCACGTGTGCCGAGATGTGAGGAGGCAATTATTTGCTCTCTGAATTGTTGATATTTTTGCATTTGATGAAACACATAAACAAAAATCAGCGCTGCCATTGTAGCCTTGGACATGCAGTTAGGAATCCATCAAGGCCTGCGGTGAGTCACAACAAGACACACACACACACACACTGGTGATGCTCCTCATAAATCAGGACACAGGGAAAAAACATCAAAGCCTGAACGAACATACTGTGTGCGTCTGTTTCCATGATGATTCATTTACACCAATCAGAAGGCTCTGCTCCATCAGCCAGGGCTGGATCACCATCCAGACAAACTGGGAGTCAGAGGAGCCTCTGACTTCCTCGTTATCATTTCAGTCGACATAATTTGATCAGCTGAAGCAGAATGAAGCAGAACTACAACTGATCCTACAAGTCAGACGAACCCAGAACCTTCAACTGCATCATCATCATCATCATCATCATCGTGCTTCCTGAACATTCTGCAGACTTTGATACTGAACTTTTCCAACTGAAATAAGTCTTTTTAAACAGGGTAACTCTGCATTTTACTTAAGCTGGTCGGGATCAATGCGCCGTGTTCTCCATGACTAACAGCGCTGGGTCATCCTCACACTGAATCCTCCACATACACACATGGAGCATCAGCTGTTTGCAGCTTTTAACTAGAATAAAATAACAAAACATGAACAAAACTTTAAACTTCATGTGTGAATGAGCGTTCTGCCTGACTCACATATATGAACGGATATGTGTGTGACGCTCTTACAGAAAGCAGTTCAGTTACATGGTGTACTCGTACACGACTCTAACTGTGCTCTGGATAACAGATAGCAGAGGAGGCACAACAAGAGGAGCGACAGAGGCAGCGACACAGTCCTTCAGCTCACTGTAAAGAGCGTTGCAGAACTTTTCTAATTTTTCTAACCAACATCATAAGATAACGTCTGTCGATCTTTGAGCTTCTGGGTTTGTGTCTTAACACTTTAAAACCTGAACCATGAAATAATTACTTAGTTTGTCAAACAGAGTGTTAAATTAAACTTTCTGACAATTTAATTAACTATTTATGGAAGCCCGTTTCCGCCACTAAATAAAAACAAAACAGCTAGTATCCATAACTCGAAATTTCGAGTTATTTTTCTCGAAATTTTGACTTATTAACTCGAAATTTCAAGAAAAGTAACTCGAAATTTCGAGTTACTTTTCTCAAAATTTCGAGTTAGCTCTGCCAATCAAAAATATAGGTGAATGAGGTCGCTTTCTTGTTACCCGGAAGCATATGGCGCAGAGGAACGCGCACTCAAAAACGGATCCCAACAAATTGGCGCTTTGGCGAGTACGTTTGCTGATAGTAACACCGTGTGATTCAGCTAATAACACGGGGATTTCATCATTTGTGAAGCCAGGCTGAAAACACTCAGCAATCTATGCATTCACAACTGGATGTAATACCGGTAGCTTAGCTGTAGCATTTGTAGCTGAGGGCTTCAGCTTCCGGGTAACGAGGAAATGACGTCATTCACGTAGATTACTGATTGGCAGCGCTAACTCAAAATTTCGAGTTAATATGTCGAAATTTTGAGAAAATAACTCGAAATTTTGAGTTATGGATCCATTTTATTTTTTTTTAGTGGCGGAAACGGGCTTCCATAACTATTTGTTTGCATATACTGTACGAGTTTTAATTTGTACCATTTTTATTGCAATTTATTTTGTTTTTTGGGGGAAAGACACACAAATGATGTAAAAGTATCAAAAACTCAAATTCTCATGATACACTTTACATTAAAGGCTTAAACTTTTTAATAGCCAACAGCAGACGACTTCTCTGGTTGCAAAGAAAGACGTGTGAGTGTGTAGAAGTTTAAGGGAAACGTTATTCTACTGCCTCTGTGAGCTATGACTCCAGCGAGCGCTTTTCTAATTATTACTAGTTAGAAGTATGATTGGATACGAGTGAAGTTACTCTCGATTTCTCAGTCGGATCTGCCCGGGTTTCAAACTCCAACACACCAACTGGGAAAACACTGATTTTGAAGCTTTACATCAGGACTTAACAAACGATGACCGTGGTCATATTTCTTATATGCTATGCTCAATAAACTAACTGCTGTGCATTCAATGAACACATTTAATAAACTATAATTAACAAATAAAATGTAATAAAATAACAATGCAGCCCATAAATGTTGAGTTAAGAGAGAGCTCGTTGTCTGAACAACATCAGTCTGAAATAAAATCCTAGATTTTGGTGCTTGACGCTTCATTGCTTGTTTCAAGAGAAGCAGAGAAGCATGTTTAATATTTGCTTTATACAGTAGTACACACACACACACACACACACACACAGCTGAACCACCTACACACCAGACGCACAGCGAGGACAAAAAACACTGAGAACATTCAGCTGCTCAACATGACGTCCAGACATGGCCATTTATACACCACACATCCAAAGCAGCTCTGAAAACAGAGACTGACAGCGTCTGAGTCTGATTCCTCAGAGCTGCAGAGCTCCACCACTAAAACTCATCCCTGAGTCTTGTCTAAGAAGCTTGGAAAGAAAAGCGTCTGGACTTCTGTAGGTTAGGTCCAGCTTTTCTTTCCAAGCTCCTTAGACTACGATGACCTGGATGACTGAGAACCTTCACAGACATCGCTGAGGCTTCATCACCATCAATCTACACACATACGGTGGTTTATTCTGACTCACTGCAACATGAATCGCCCCTCTGCCAAATAAAATCTAGAGCAACAAACACTGATTCATCCACTGCAGAAAATAGTCCCCAAAATGGTCTATTAACTCCTAAATGATAGTGAACAGTCTCTTAAAGAAATGACTGAGCCTAAAGTTTATATATCTGTTATGGAGGTTTGACTTTTGAAGATCAAAAGCTTAAAAGTTTTAGCTTTAAGAATGTTAAAAGACACCAGGAAAGAGCACATTTGTCTGAGACCGTCTTCAGTGTCGGATTAACCCACCCGTGGCGCTCTGTGAGCCTGGAAGAATCTCACAGTGACAGGAAACGGGGAATTTAACAGTAGATGCTTGTGTTCGGCTTTAACGACAGGAAGAACACGCAAGAGATCACCAGACCTGCTGATTTATGTCTAAATGATCTGAATGTGTGCAGCCAGCTAGAACAGAGCCACAGTGTGTGTCTGTGTGCACGCATGTGTGTGTCACTAACATTACCACATTAGTAAGCAGTATGTATAGCATGTGCGTATTATTGTCTTGCAGTGCAGTGACTCACCAGCAGCTTGGGAAGTATTTATGTCAACAGGTATTCCTCATGTTGTGGGGACTTAAATGTGCAATCATGCTATGGGGACGAGTCATTTTAACAGGGACGAAAGCGTCAAATTTTTAAGGTGAATGCAGCATTTAATGTTCGAGTTTGTCTCCAGGAAGTGAATGGGAGTCAAGGAAACATGGCTGTGTGTGTGTGTGTGTACCTGTTCAGACGTCTTTGTGAGGACCAAAAATTGGAACCTTACTATACTTATGGGGACCAACAGTCGGTCCTCACGAGTTTGAAGGCATTTCTGAGATTCAAAACGTGGTTTTGGTGTCAGGGTTACAATTAGGTTATGCTTAGGTTTAGGCATTCATTTCGAAGGTTAAGGTCAGAGTTATTGTAAGTGGCTAGGGTAAGTGTTATGTCAATTAGATGTCCTCACTAAGATATCAAAACGAGAATGTGTGTGTGTCAGTTAAAGTCCTGCTGCTCTGAAACGTTCTGAAACACTGAAGCTTTCGAGGATCGAGGTTCAAAGGTTTCTTTGTTCTTTTCACATTTTAATACTACATAAAGTTTATTGTTCATTACTATTAATGTTTAGCAGACGTGGCCAGTTCTTGGCTGATGAACAGACTCATCAACCCACTCATCCAAGCACACACGCCACATAAGCGACCTCTTACTCTACCTACAGGGACTCCTTCAGTTGTGTCAAGATGGAGACATCTTGGGGAAACTGGGGTCTCCTCCGGGATATGGACCCGGGACCTCAAGAAACCCAAAGATTAAGGATCATTCCTCTACGCTCTTCTTTCATCTACTCCTGTGCTTGTTGCTCCCTGTCAGTGGGACCCTTTCCAGCTGAAAGTGGGCTCTAACAAGATGCTGAGGTGCTGGGGTAGCACCGGTTCAACAGGATGCAGCTGATATTGAGCGGGTAGTAAGCTACTTGCCCCACAGGTTCAGGTTTCGCCAACTAAACTACTCTGTTGTGGGGAAAAGAAGCACTCACTTTAATATTGGGCTTTGAAACTCTTTGAAGTGTATTTAGGCAGCAGTGGGAGTCCTCTTGTGGTATATGCCAACCACAATCCTCTTATTTTTGCACACTGTAGAGAACACAGATCAGCACATGATGAGAAGGTGCTCATTTTTACAGCTCTGCCAGCTGGATGTCCAACATTATGTCTGTTTAGTTTTTTTTATTTTGGGAGTTTTCTTCTTCAGTTCTCTTAAAAGTGCTTTTTAGGTACCAAGCTGCTGAGAACAGAATTGCTGAAGGTAATCTTAGTATCTTCATAAATACATTTGTTAGTCTTAATGACTGAAGTAACAGCTGGTGTCACTTTTGCTATCTAATCATAACAAAACAAAACCAGCCATATTTCAGACAGAAAGGGTGCAGGTCGAAGCAACAGCTTCTGGACACCTACCCCTCATATTACACAGTTTAACCAACCATGAAGTGAATGCTACGAGTCAGTACGTAGAAGAGTCAGATAAAAATTTATGTCCAGAAACAGACATCAATAGCTGAAACGTGCTGTCGATGTTAAAAACTGTTAAATTTGAACATTTACTGTGATGCAAAACCAACAAATACCACCAATACTACTGATAATAATAAATGTTATACTTAATATTATGTTGTACAGCACTGATTTATTGTTGTGGCCTCATTTATCTGGAGTCTTAATTTCTTTTTATGAAAACAATATAATGACTGATTCTGTTCATGTTTTATTCACTAAATATGATTTTCCTATTTTGAACTTGGTGATATCTCAGTTTTCTGATCTCGCTTCTTTTTATGACCTCCATTTATCGTCTAATCTAATCCCCAAGAAACTAAATGTGTTTTATAACTTCGGCAACTTGTTTATCATCTGAAGATTAGTTTTATTTCTGTCTTCTGTCTGGGTGGCTCATTTTTAAACTAAGCGAATAATCAGAAATAGTCAGATAGATATAAATAAAAGTTGTTCAACACTGGATTAATTAACATGAAAAGAAGGCGCTGTATGGAAGGCCTCAGGTTTGACGATTTCCTTTGGGTTTCTGCAATATTACTTAGAAATCCAACCTTTATTAAAAATGTACACAGACGAAGAACATTTCATATGCAATCAAAATCTTAAAAAGCTCAGTTATTTTAGTTTGTACAGATGCCATTTGATTAAACTTGGTCTTTTATCAAGTTGTTCAGCATGTACAGTGACTGATAAAGATTTCATAGGAGAACTGTGAGGCTAAAACCAGCAGTTAGTTCTTCCTCCTTATCTAAAACTCCAATCATTACTTTCAAACCCAGAAAATATTTTAAACTCTTGTTTCTTCGATTACAAAAGTGTTCATTATCAGAGAAAACTATAAAAGAAGGAAATTATCCCAAGCTGAGTAGGAGACCCCACTGGGGCATACTGGTCACTTGCTGGTTAATATTATTAGTAAAATGTTACAATTATTGGCAGTTATAAGTGTCTTCGTTTTAAAAAAGAAAATATTTGTTACTTATTTTTTCAACCATTTAATGAATTAAGCCGTCAGCTCAAAGTCACCATCAGTAATGAGCCTAATTCTTCTTTTAAAGTTGTTCTAAAAACCCCGGTAACAATCAAACAAAAAAAAAAATCATTTACTTTTGCTTTTCTCTACCATTTTTTAAAATTATTATTATTATTTTGGTAGCTGACAATAATCAGGGTTAGAAACATCACCAATGATTTAGACATCAGTGTTTACTATATCAAAAATGGGGTGGGTTCGGGGGGCCCAGCAGGAACTTTGTGGCCCGTGGCTCCGCAGCAGGTGAGTCCGGCAGTGGCTGCAGCCATTCCCTGACTCTCATTAAACTTCCAGTCTGGTTCCAGCTGCAGTAAGGAGACCAGTGAAGTTCCAGTCTGTGTACTGGTGCTGGGAAACAAACACACACAAACACACACACACTTACAGATCTTGGCCACGCTGGCCACCAGTAGCCAGATGGCGATGATGTACGGGGTCTGGACGTAGCTCCACTCCCACTGGACCACCCGGTACCCGCCGCCGTGATGATGATCATGCTCCCCTGCGTCTTCCTCCTCTCCGGTGCCGGTCGGCTCCTCTGCAGCGGACCGGGCCAAGGCGACGCCGGGCGCCCCGTATTCCGCCCCGGGCTGCGGGAGGAGGAGCGGCGGGGCGGAGGGAGAGGCGGGG